GCCGTACATTTGGGGTCTTTTGACTTTTGAGCGAGAATTTGCCCTTCTTTAAGCGTCGACGTCTTTGTTTCTAGTCTCAAAATTAAAAAAAAAATGGTCCAAACCCTTCACGATTTATATTATCCTTCATTAGAGAGATTTAGAGTCTTGACTTTTACTACAAACGTCACATTCAAGTTGGGAATTTCCCAAAATAGAAAATGAGCAGATAAAAACAGCTCAAAGCAATTCTTATGGATAAAACAGGCGTTAATCTACTGATTTCCTTGTGGCTATAATGAGAGCAGTAAACGAAAGTAAAGGGAAAGCTTGGTCACGTGGTACAAATTCACGTTTGCCGTTTGTCAGTCGAATCTCTCTATACTTTACAACGACTTTTACCGCGAAACCAAGTTCCAGTCTTTTCTTCCCTTTGGGCAAGTTATGGCCGTGTAACCACTGACATGAAAGTGAGCAGGATGGGGTGGCAAAGAGATTTTCTGTAACTCGTGAGAGGTCCTTGCCTGCGTCACAGACGCTCTAAACCTTTGTATAGAGCGTCGCAGTCGGAGGGCGCTTAATTTCCATTTGTCAGAACTGACCGGCCAGCCCGCGTTCCCATCGTAATGAGAATTTCACTTTTAATCAAAACTAACCATCCAGATCAGTCAAATCCTAAATATTATGCACAAAGGAGATGGTTTTTCCGCAAAACCTCTTGGAAAAAGCTTATTTTATTGCCAAAATGTCTGGTCCGACCATGGTCCGGCAGTCCAGTTCTGACTTTTGGAAAGCGCCCAGAGTATACAAATGGTTTAGACGACACGAGGGCCGGCTGCAACGCAGGCTAAATGGGCACCAAATTATCAGCGTGATGCGTGATCAGACCCACTTTAGCCGCGTGAGGCGTGATTGGGCATAGCAGGGACTGCCGGGTGCGTGATTAAGTGACGCAGCGTGATTTTCCTCTCAGATTTCCGTGATTGGTCAATATCATTTAAAACCAGAAGCACAGACATTAAAACAGATAGTCATGACATCATTTTTTGGTCCTTTTTCTTGTCCCTCAACCTCTCAATCGTACTATGACCTCCATTAGATCCTCAGATCAGTGATGCTGGGTAATATGGTTTTGATCAACATCGGATTTCAGAGAAGCCACTTTTGTACAATTAAAATCATTCAATCAGCTGTTAACGCGCGATCCTACCCAAAAGGGACGCTGAAGACAAGGTATTAAAGGGGTTGAGATATTGCCATGTTAACTTACTGCAATTGCACCTCATTTACGTGATGCATATAATAGCTAATTTTTCTTCCCCGTGATGCGTGATGGCCTAAAAAAAGTCAGCGTGATGCGTGATAGGTCCCCCCCCCCTTTGACGCCAAGGAGAGCTTTGCGACCCTTTGGGGAAAAAAGTCTAGTGTAACTGCACCTATTGCTGTTATTTAATTATAATTTGTAATTTTCTTATTCATTTACTGGTCTTTACTTGTAGCTAGATAGGAACAACCTTGTAAGTTCCATTTTAAAATGGCCTTTTTTCACTTTTAAACCTTGTATCCGTTTTATTGCATCTTGAATAAATTATGTACGTTATGTTATGTTAGTTATTCACCCGTTCAAGAGCGTTACGAAAGTGTATTTTCGTGACTTGTGACCGACCCATTTTTCTCGTAAAATTGAAAACTGGTATTTTTTTCCTTTTGAATCGATATCCATAGTGGCCGTGAAGCTTGGTTTTGCAAAATTATTTTTCTAAAAACGAGAAGTAAATATCGTTTAATAAGCCGGGTACCGTGATTCTCGTTGTGTCTGTTATTTTCGTGAAATGAGAATGTTATTTCGTAGTAAACGTGATCGGGACCTCCCGCCTTCCTTCACCAAGCTCTACTGATTGTCTACGGAAACGGCGGGCAATTATTGTCGCGGTTGTGTTATTGAATCCGAATTGAGATTGCATATTTGAAGAAAACTGGTTGTAATTTGCTCATTGGCGCTAACAACAGCCAATAAAATGTTGCGTGAGGAAGCACTCTAGTACCCTGGGTACCAGAGGTTCTTTCTCGCGTGCGACGGGGAGCTCACCGTTTTAAGACTTGACCGAAACCGGAAACCGCGCATGAAAAGCCTCTGGAACCCAAGGTAGCACTCTAGTAACTCGCGAGTATATTAAGGGAAGTACTTACAGTTGAAATATACAGTCATACAGTCAATATACAAAAAATCTCGATTTGCTTGAACAGGGGCCGCGAGGAATCGGTAGGTAATGATGACGTTTCTATTGTTTGCGCCCGCAAGTATTATTGTGCAGTCATACTTTGATACTCTTTTGTGTTACGCAGTGCTTCTGTGGAGTAGCTGCTTTGAAAATTATGGATCAAAAGACACTCGTTAAGCGCATATGAGGTTATAAGGTGCGTTTAACTGTGTATATATAAATACTCGGAGAGTTTGCCAGACACGAGCTCACAAATCTTTAATTTATATTGGAAACCTTGCCAGACACTCTTTCTCTCT